TCCACGCAATGAGCAGAATGTGCTGCAGATATATCAGAGAGTTTCTGAATCTTGTTTGTGTACATGAACATGGTTCACGTCTCTTAAACTTAATCATACTAGATTAAGTATTGATGCCTTGTAGATGTGTAGTTTTATCCTCCTATGAGGTTGAAGTTGTTCCAGACTCTTTTGTTCAATCTTATCATAAATGCAAATCCTACCACTCACCCCTTCATCAATGGAGAGTGAGAAGGATATGGTGAGTCTAAATAGACCAGGTATGTGAAGGTCTCAAAAACCATGAGATGACAATGGAGAGTGAGAAGGATGTGGTAAGTCCAAATATGTGAAGGTCTCAAAAACCATGTGAAGACAATGGAGAGAACAGAGCCTATTTCTTACAACAAGAAGTTAGTCTTCTTAAGGCTCTTTGATCTTAAATATGCAGTCTAAAAGCAGTTCACAAATGAGAACCTTTGTGACAAAGTATGGGGTATTTGCATAGAGTATGGTGTTGAACAGCTCACTGTCAAATATAGAATGGATGTTCACCACCTTGGTACCACAAGCTCAAGGGACATGTAGAAGTTGGCTAAAATGTGTCAAAGTGTATCCTTTCTTTACTCCAGTTCTGGAAGTTCTGTAGTGCTGAAGCACAGGGTGTTATTTAGGTCTCATGGAATGACATCTTGAGAGCAAGCAGTTATGGTGGATATACATCTATAGGAAGATTTTTTATATATTTGAAATAGCTTTGGAGCAATAGGTCTAAAAATTTTTAAAGTAATAGTACCAGAACCAATAATTTTTTGGTTAAATTAATTTATAGACTCTGCTATTGTTAACAATAAGATAATATTATTGCTGCTAAGTCATGTCTATTCTTAGAAACATATATAGAGTGACCCCATGAATGCTAGTTTAAGAACTGTTTCATTACAGCATTTTAAAAATACCTTAAGAGTATTTGTATCCCAAACTTTAAGACATCGGTCCGTTCCACTTGATGTGAAAATGCCTGTGTCCAAAGCATACCACAGTACAGTTTCAACACTTCTTGTATGCGCATCTGTAGTGCCAGGTGATACAGAATGTACAAGCTTGAAGACTCTTGTGTCTAGCATACGGTTGTTGTGGTCATACTTAATTAGTTCTTCCAAATCATGTATTGCAATAGTGCCATCAGAAGCACCTGATAACAAGCTGTGTGATAGATCATTAAAGTCTTTAAGCATCATACCATGAATTTTACTAAAACCTTTAGCTTTCAGAAATGCACCAGTTTTTATGCTATTTCTGAAAATAAATTATATTGTAACATAAACAATTGAATTTGACATTGAAAAAAATCTTGATTAAATGTTAAGTCAGGTTAAAGGTTTATGACAGGTTGTCTCTTGTTTGTTCAGACTCCCATGAGGTCAAGAAATCATTTCACAAATCTCACTCTTATTAAGGTTGGGATTTCGTAATGTCCCTTACTTCCTTGCATCAAAGTTGAGGGCTTGAAAATGACATGATGATTATATAGCACTGAAAATATTACACTACACTCTGTATTTAGTGATTTTGTTCAATTTGCTTTTCAAATTTTATTACAGCATACTAAAATTGTCAATTTAACCCTAAGTAACTAAAATCAAAAACAAAAGCCATTTTATGCACTTACTATCTGTTTTCTGACAGATCTACATCAACATCGTTAACTGCGGCTGTATGAACTGTCTGTACTTCTTTATGTCTACTTAACTCTAGTCCTTGCATAAAATAAGTACTAATGCTCCGCTGGAGGGTGTAAGGGGCCAGCATTCCCATAGTTTGGTGAATCAGGCAATGTGTCATTGAATGTTGTTGATGACATGCCATTGTGTTTGGTGTGAAGGTGGGCAAATTCATCTTTAAAATTATAAAAATTTTGAAACACTTCAATCAGTGCCTATTTAGGCATCAGCATAAAACAAAATTTATCCCATGTTATTGGCCCATGTCTTTACTTTACTGCAATCATACAGTCTTGCCACTCTTGATTGCATAAACATCATTTATGCTAATCATGTGTACCTGAAAAAAATAAAAGTGATCATAACTTAGGGCCTAGGTCAGCTGTCAATGAGCAACTTGTAGTAACGGAATAAATAAATCGGCCACTTTTCTATTTGCATTGAATATCTAATTTATTGCACTAAAATATGAGATTATCAGCTGAAGTTTTTTTGTGTATAATCAGTAATTAATCATAACGAATAAGAGAATATTTCTGATTAATGTGAAAGCTAAATTGACCAATACTTGCTTATACTATTAATAGGTATTTTGATACATTATTTTTCTGCTAGTGACACATCATTGCAGAGTTACGTGCCCATTGTTCAACTTTGTAAAAAGTATTGCATATACGTTTGGGGGAAAAAGGCAGTTTGCAGTTATTTCTTTGTTAAATATGTTGTATATGAAATGTCATTTTAAAGAGACTTAAATGCTGAGTAATAATGTGCTTTCTGATTTTTATCAATATTTTTTTGTTACTATTTCAAGTTGAATTAAGTTAAGTCTACTTTTCAATTTCCCATACATTCTTCATCAGCCACAATTTTCATGATACCGGTAACCACTGTCATTGTTTAAAACATCCAATTAGGGGTCCTCCATTAATTATGTCAACAGATTATGCGGGGGGAGGGGGGAATCTTTGACAATTGTTGACAAGGGGAAGGGGGGGGGGGGGGTGGTAGATTTAGTTGTTATCAACAATCATGTTTTCTCTATTAAAACATTTCATATTAAAAATTGACTGGCTATTAAATAAGGGGAAGGGGGGGGGGGGGGGTGGTAGATTTAGTTGATATCAACAATCATGTTTTCTCTATTAAAACATTTCATATTAAAAATTGACTGGCTATTAAATTATTTTAGCAAACTTAATTAGTGTAAATAGTTATATAATTATTCGGCTTTAAACAATATAAGATTTATTTAATGTGTGTCTGTCAGTGCACTACTGATGGCTGGTTAAAATGTCAGCACCCTTTGGTATTGCAAGAGAAGTCAATTGTTGGCCTCTCTTCGCCTGTAGATTCTGTTTGTCGTAAATGACTAGGGCTGTATGTTTGCAATCATGTTGCAAGTATGAAATAAGGACATGGTTCAAGTGTCATGTGTAGTCAAGATAAATGATATTGTTAGAGTAGGAATACGATATTTTGAGAATTAGGGGAGAGTAAAAAAAGTAACAATAATAACATCGCTGCTGGAACAGATCTGCAAAATCTATAACATCTACCCGGTTTTATGATTTATTTTGCATCACAAGTCATGTTGAAATAGCATGTAAAGGATTCGACTAATGAAAGTAGCTGCCAGGAGATAGAGAGAGCTTATGGCAATTATTGCCCACACTGGCAATGCTTCTATTTTAAGTGCTGAATGGTTAGATGAGGGTGATGTTGACTTGTCTTGTATCTCAGTTCCGCAAGAAGAAAATGATAAATCAGCTACTACCCATTGTTACGTTAGAGCAACACCTGGCTTCTCCCTGGGAAGATGATAGCAGCTAGAAACTGTGGTACAATTGTTATTTATACCGGTACTCACAATAATCAATAATAAACTTTTAATTGATTCCTTATTATAAAATTTAATTGTAAAAACATTTTAATTTGATGAACAAGCTTAAGATGCAATAAAATGTTTTTCCTACAATTTTGTATTATTAAAATAGATCAGCAAAAAGAAATGTATTTATATATGTATTTATATTATTGTTTATTTTTATTTTATTTTTTTTTGGGGGGGGGAAAATGTTATCGTAATTACTTGGGGAGGGGGGGGGTCATTGAAAGTTTGACAGTTGTTGACAAAAAGGGGGGGGGGCAAAAATTGCTTAAAAATTGTTGACGTAATTAATGGATGCTCCCTTATCTACAAGAATGGGCAAATAAATTTTACCCTCGTCCTACCCCAACCATTTTATTAAGGTTTCAATATAGTGACCACAGGTATGATGACTACATTTCCTCCCTGGATACCATTGTTTTTTTTTAAATTTAAAGCTTGAAAATAAGAAAAAGCATATGACCAGGGAGTGGCAGCTCTCACAAAAGGTCTATGCCCAGTTTTGAAATTAGTCACTTTTTTATTTTTTTTATTGATCTATGTCTCAATTAACCAGAATTATCCCAAAATAACTCATGAAAAAAATCATAAGAACGTTCTTTAGAATTGACCTACTACTACAACACAGTACAGTACAGTCTGAGGACAGTCATAAATTTAATATGTAAATCAATTGGTTTTTACAAGCCCTATTTTTTCTAAAACTAAAAGGATATTTAAAATAAAAAAAAGCTGCTAAAGAAAGCTCATCAGTATCAGGCTGTAACTGTAACTTTAATTTTGAAAATTTTGTCCAAGTACCTACTGTTATATTTTTGGCGCGGCAATCCAATAATAATAATTTCAATTCTATTGATTATTAATGAATCAATGGACGAATTGTTAATTGAATTGTCCTTTTCAATCAAATAAAAAATTATCTCGGCACTTAACTGTATGACTTATTAAATTATACTTAAATTTTAAGTTTAAGCTGACTCGTAAAAACTAAAGACGAATCACCGTGCCATAAATTCTTTATTTATGTGTAAGTCCTAATTAGGATACGATCGTAAAATAAAAAATATTCTTTTTACTCTTCAGTAATTGGAAAATCTCTCGTTCAAAAAAAAATTGAAAAAAGATGTTATTACAAGTTTATAAATTTAATTTTAATGCATTATTAATGAGGGGAGTCTACCAAGGGTGAAAATTCCGCTCTGTAACTATAAGGTAGGTAGTGTACACTACACCCTTCCAGTTTACATTAACGGTAGTCTGTCGCAAATTCTTTCTGTATTAAAAATTATTATAGTTAATAAACCCTTTATTTTTAAATTACTTAACTTTGAATAATAAAATTTAGGGCCTCTATATTTTAAATAGAAAGTTGTAATTATATGATGCTTCAAAAAATAACGTACAGATTTCGAGATGATACGGAACTATAGGCTTTAGGCCCTAATAATTAGGCCCATAAAGCCGTAGAAATTTTCAGATACCATCAGCCATCAGTAGTTAAACGTTTTTAATATATGACATTAACATAATATATTAAATACACTGGAAATGTTGTAATAATTTGAGGAAAATGGCTGGAAGCTCCTCTATTTTTTTTTTTTTTAAATTACAATACCGTGCAATCATATGTGAATTTCAAATTCGTTCATCGTCCGATATTTGTAAACCTGTACAGAACATTAGCCAACAACAAGAGTTGTCTGCTCAGTCTGCTCTTTGTTTTGATGAACATTACCCTTTTCATTTCACGTGTTCATCAAATCTACTTTAAACAATGTCCTCTCTTCAATATGAAGGATGCAATTATTTCCGCATGAGACTGATATTATCTACATTAAGTGGCAAAAGTATTAAAATTTCACATATTCGACCAGAAGAGGATGACCCAGGTCTCAAAGGTACTCAAAATATGTTAAAGTTGACGATTTATTATATTTTATATATAATATTATATCATAATAAAAAGTGGTACAAAAATTTAAAAAAAATATTAAAGTTATTGTTATGAATGAGTTATATAGACTATTGAGAGCAGATTTCGGCTAATTTGGAGAGATAGCATGCTGACGTCATTTGCGTGTTTTGTCCCTGGTTCCGATAGGCTCAAAACCCTGGTTCCGATATGGTCAAAACCCAGGTTAGAGATAGATTTAGGCATTTTAGGGTTCAGGTTAGGTTTAGGGATAGATTTAGGACATAAGTATAAGTTGGCGGGTTGCGGCAACCAAGATCGCAGCCACTGTGCTATCTCTCCAAATTTACCCACATTTCAAATAAAAAAAATTAAACCAGAATCAACTTTCTAGCTTTATTTACTACTTTTTGAGCTATGAATTTCAATTTCTAAAGTGCGAGTTTGGTATTTTTACTATTGGCAATATAGTATTGCTATGGTCCTATGGTCACTAAGGACTCCACATTTTGTGACCCCATTCCACTTATCGAGTCATTAAAAGCATTTCCATTTGTTTGGATCAATAAAAGAATCTTATCTTATCTTGTTTTAGCAGACATGTGTTTTTTTACACGACTGTGGAAAACATCATTACACATAAATTTACCCAATAATGCTTCCTCCCACACATAATTGATGGGATGAATCATTGAATATATGTAACCTTATCATTTGCTGTGGCCAAAAAAAAAAGTATTTATTATAAAAGGTATGTTGTTTAAATTCTAGCCTTAGCAGTCTTTGAGCTATGAATTGAAAATACTATATGAATTCATTAGGTTTATAAAACTATTAATGCAATGATAACTAAATAATTATGAATGTTATTGTACCAGTATTATGGAATGCACCACCTCATTTTATGACCCTATTCTGTTTTACATAATACTGCTGTTACATCAATACAGTAACAAAAAATTTTTAAATTGCTTCAATACTTGTTAATGTATGCCTTTGTTTAATAAAGAATGTGCATTTTTTAAAGCAAATTAATGGATTCATCATTACATTATTTAACAGACTCTTAGCGGTATGACCCACTAGATATCTGTCGTAGGTCACAACTGAAGTCAAGTCCATATCCCACTAATTCAATTATATTTTTAAAAATATTAACCAATGAACGTTCATTATTCACTCAGTTTCCTTTGATATTGACCTTTTTGTTTTACATATTATCATTACACGCAGATGGATCATTATGATATTACTGCCAATAAACAAAAATTAGTGCAGAGTGCAAAATTAAGCATAGCAACTTTATTGTTGGCTAATGCTCAGATATTTAATATGCGAGAACCCAAAAGAAGAGAGAGGAGAAAACTGTGCAGCCTCGTTGCATATTTTTAAAGATACTGTTACTGCACAAGAAAATTACAGACATATATTTTGATAGATATTGTTTGTAATCTGGTTACAATGGCATGTTGTTATTAAAGGGGCAGAAACAGGAAGTGTCAATTGTCTTGACCACCGGAAATTAAGGCCAGCACATTGCTAAAAGTGCTGTCTTTACATTGGTTGAAAAGAGAAGTACAGTCAGTATGGTGTGCCATTCATTTCCTTCATGTCACCATTTCATGGTTCATTTCCTTTCCAATACAAAAATAATGGGGAGGAACTTAAAAATAACTTGAAAAAATTGAAATTTCCTCTTGCACTTCTTTTATGCTGCTATTGCGAAAAAATCTGCCAATGCAATCGTGTGTGATAGTAATCCTGTTATGCTGACGAAATTAATAGTTTTTATTGTATTTTGTGATTGGTTTTACTTATATATATATGTTTCTTATTTATTGAATGAATCTTTTCTTCAATCCTCTTTTTAGACTTTGAAATAAGCTTTATTCGTTTGTTAGACAAGGTGACCAATGGCTCTAAAACAGTTATAAATGAAACAGGTAAAGTAAATAAGAGCAAATTGTTGACTTTTTAAAAAAGTTTAACCAGACGCTAAGGCTTAATTTTTTAAATTTTTAAGAATTTTTGTGAAAAATTTTTATTGATGAATTAATGAAGATCATTTATTTGTAGGATTGCACAACTTAAATTGTTTTTAATACCTAAAAAATATTTTCTTTTAGATTTTAATTCCATTCATTATAGGTACACAAATTGTATACAGACCTGGCCTTTTATTAGGTGGTATTCTAGAACATGAATGCCATTTATCTCGGCCAATCGGTTATTATTTGGAGATGCTAATGTGCTTGGCACCGTTTACAAAAGAGCCCTTAAAAGCTGTTTTAAAAGGTGTCACATGTGACAAAGATGATCCTTCAGTAAGCATTTACTTGTCTCTGTGCTATTAACATTTTCTGATAAATTATTTTACTGATATGGTGTAATTTTATTTGAAAGTGTAAGTGGGTTCTCTAATCCAAATTTTATTTAGGCAGTTGTATTTAGCAAAACATTTTGTAACCCAATGGAATACTTCCATTTCATATTGTGATGCATTCAATGTAAATTAATTTGCTCTTGAAACTAATGTAAAATTACTTTGAACATTTACAGGTGGACTTATTGAAGCTGTCAGTGTTTCCAGTTTTAAAAAGATTCATTGGTACTGATGAAGGTCTTGAACTTAAGGTAATAATCATCTTCAAAGATATTATTTTGATCTCAGTATAAAGCTCACTACATACTTAGGATTTTAAAAAATAACAATCAATAAAGTTATAAAATCTATCAGTGTTTTTATAATTTGCATTAGCTTAAGATTATGCTTGCTGCATACTAAACTTGTAATGATGCAAGTGTGATTTCTTAAATGCCTCCTTTATATATTTTCTTTTTTCCATATGCAGATTAATAAAAGAGGTGCAGCACCCGAAGGTGGCGGTGAAGTTCTTTTTACTTGTCCCTGTAGACAGAAGCTGAGACCCATTAAATTTACACAGCCTGGAAAGATAAAGCGCATTAGAGGTGTTGCGTATCTTTTTATATAAATACTGATAAAGTGATCGGTGAAAATTTATTTATAATCTCACATCTTATTTTATGCAATTATTTGATTGTCAATGTACATCATTAGAGAGATCATAAACTCACATATTTTATTTAATTTGCTGATTATAAGCGCACTGTTCCTAATAGCATCGATTTTGTTTTTACATTTGTGGTCTTTACGTATTTTACATAATGGATCATCTATAAAAATAATTATGGGGAATATTTATGTTTTCCTACCCCACTCCATGTTGCAGCCCCCTAAACTTATCCACCAGCCTTGACTTAGATGTTAGACTGAAGTATGTATTTATATACCAATTGTAAGGTTTAAGATTAATTTTCTGAAGTAATAACTTTTCAAGGACCATAGTCAATTACAACAGTAGTTAAGCTTATTCTTGACTGAACTGTCCATTTTTATTTTGACTGGTTCTAATCAAAAATCATATTTCATTGCTTTTTAAAAATTGTAATCTTTGTTTAAAATATGTACTACATAACTTCAGATATTTGAGGAATATAAAATTTGTAAATAATATTAATAAGGCCAATAAATTAAATATGACATTTTGCAAAAAAAAGCACAAGATCTATGTTTAATCCTTGACCATTATAAAAGATGGGCTGTGCGTGTTTCTCCTGCATTTGTGAATCGTCTAGTTGATTCTGCTCGTGGTGTCCTAAACAGATTTTTAACAGACATTTACATTTATACAGACCATATGAAAGGAAGCCAGTCTGGAAAGTAGGTCCAAACTTTCACAAGTTATTTATTAAGCTTCTTGCAATAAAAACAATTAAAAAGAAGGAGCTATTTATGTAATTGTGTTTATTTCATATCATACAGAAGATTAACACTGCTCCCCTAAATTTTTATTGGGATCAAAAACATCATTGAGACACAATGGGGGGGGGGGGGTTGCTAAAAGTTTGTGAGAAAAAAGATAAGCAAAAAGATCATAGAGAAGTGAGTTGCTTCCTGTGATATAAAGCATTCAGGCTTGATGTTACATGCAGCCAATGGTATAAAGAATACAACTTTATGGATCCTTTTACTTATTCAAAGCTAGCAGTTTTCCAGCCTTTAACATACAGAAGATTAACACTGCTCCCCTAAATTTTTATTGGGATCAAAAACATCATTGAGACACAATGGGGGGGGGGGGTTGCTAAAAGTTTGTGAGAAAAAAGATAAGCAACAAGATCATAGAGAAGTGAGTTGCTTCCTGTGATATAAAGCATTCAGGCTTGATGTTACATGCAGCCAATGGTATAAAGAATACAACTTTATGGATCCGTTTACTTATTCAAAGCTAGCAGTTTGCCAGCCTTTATCTATATGTAAATAACCAGATTGGGTTATTAACCCTGAACCCCTTATGCCAGTAGCTACAATATTATTTGCTATTGCTATTTACTACACTTCTGCCTCTTCTTTAAATAAGTCTTAAAATTGTGGATTAATAGTTAAAAGACCTATTTTAAATAGAGAGTTAAAGGGATTATTTTAAATGTTACATTCTTATATTACCAGGTCTCCAGGGTTTGGCTTAACTTTAGTGGCAGAAACAACGGAAGGGGCATTCCTGGCAGCTGAAGAAGTGAGCAGTTCCAGAGGTTCTGGTGAATCCCCCACAGTTCCTGAGGATCTTGGCAAAAGAGCAGCCATGGCACTGCTCCAAGAAATACATAGGGTAGTTCAGCAGTTCTTCTTTAATGCCATAATAGAGATTTATAGAGCATTTAATACTTGATTAGAAGTAGAAGTATTAGTTTGAAGAGTGCCGGTAATATAATTACAAAGTAATAAAAAAAAAATTAATGGTAACAACTGTGTTATACTTTGCATAGTAATACTTGACTTTCTTCACTTAGGGTGGCTGTGTTGATTCCACAAGTCAAAGTCTTGCTGCACTTATGATGGTTCTTGGACAACAGGATGTGTCTAAACTTCAGACAGGGGAGCTAACACCATACACGTAAGACAGCTGACATTAACTTGAGTACCGGGTAGTGTTTGGGTTTTTTTGTGTATTTTATTCTTTATTTTTTTTTTTCCCATTTTATTTATAAACACTTGACTCTTTGTTCTCCTTGCAGCATCCAGTTTCTACGACACATTCGTGACTTTTTCCAAGTAACTTTTAGTATTAAAGTGGACAAGAGACCAGTGGTACCTAGCACAGATGAGAATGAGGAAGAAGAGGAGCTGAAACTTGGTGCAGACAAATTAATCTTGACTTGTGTTGGTGTGGGCTATGCTAATGTCAGCAAGCCTATCAGATAAGACAACAACAGGAGGGGGTCATGCTGTACAGAAGAAATAAATTGTATGCACTTCAAAAAATTGGGAGTTGTGTTTATTTGAAAGCCTAATTTACTGTTGTAATTATTTTAATGAAAACTATACAATTATTCGAAGTCAATCTTCTCTAAATTGAAAAAAAAATTAATTAAGTCCAAGACATGTTTACGATATTAATGATTTCTTACGATTTTCTTACTTTGTAAAATGGGAGAGACTTAAACATAACAATTGACTGATTCAAAGCAATATCTATAATGTAAAGCAATCTGTCATTTTTTATTGATTTTACAAGAATACAAAACAATACAATGATTTAACTATGCAAATTTAAATTCAAATAATTAAAATCTTTCTTATTTAAATGTGACATAGTTTATATCCCCTGCCCTGGTAGTTAATGGCTGTACTGTAATGGAGCAAACGAATTTTGTAAAATGGATGTGAAAGAACTAGAAGTACAACGTATGTGGAAGCTTGAATCAAAAGACAGGACAAAAAGAGTAGAATGTTTCAGCTAAGATGTGGCACCTTTGGTGTCATTTTAAAATAAGTAACGGTAAATAGTTGAGATTCCCTCTCCAAGAATTTTCGCCAACACCCTGATAAGATAAATATGGGAGAGAACTCAGTTATCTTTAAATTTTAAAGAGAGATGCCTCCTGAGGTATGTCATTGTAACATTCCCTTCAACATGTGCCTGAAAATAAAGATTGATATACAACAATTTCAATGGCAAAGATGTCATTACTTATTAAAAAAAAAGAAAGAACTTATTGTAGCTCTTTGTTCTAACAAAAGAAGATAATAAATATTTTAGCGAGAGCCACAGAAGATAAATAGTACTGACAATGTTCTAAGTCAGTTTTTTTTTAACTCAGCCTTCTTGCTATTTAATATGTTACTGTATGGTGAGTACGTAGGAGCCTGAGAGTCTTATTTGTGCCTAGAATTTGAAAGCTTGACTGCATGTAGGTCTAGAAATATTTGAAAGCTTGACTGCATGTAGGTCTAGAAATATTTGAAAGCTTGACTGCATGTAGGTCTAGAAATATTTGAAAGCTTGACTGCATGTAGGCCTAGAAATATTTAAAAACTTTAAACAAAATAATCGTTCAAATTTAAAATAATGACTACTACTTTAAACAAATTTTTTTATAAATAATTAGTTAAATGGAGCATTTCAATATTATTTCCTGCTACCTTTATCTTTGCATTGCCCGACACTGTTAGTGATAGTGTGTTATCACATTTCTTCCTGTTCTCTTCTCCCATTCCATAGCTCTTATCCATCACAAAAATGCTGACCTACGACCCTAACTTTTGATGTCAACTTGATGTGTAACAACTTGTGTGCGTGTTGTTGTGTAACAACTTGTGTGCGTGTTGTTGTGTAACAACTTGTGTGCGTGTTGTTGTGTAACAACTTGTGTGCGTGTTTTAAACTGAACAAAGGGAGTTTTTTTTAAACTTCTGCACTTTAGGATTTTGGAGTGAAAATTCCTTGTGTGTAATAATAGGTATTGGCAAATTGCCTCCAATGTGCACGTTTGAAAACCTTTGCAGCTCTGGACATCTTTGAGTATAAAAATAACGTAAGAATCGACTATGCCCAAATGGCATTTATATTATATATATATGTATTATATATATAATGACATGGTTATGCTAGTTGGTGAGCCAAACTGGCCAGATGCTGTGTTTCCAAAACAAAATCTGTCACAAAGAAAGCACTTTCATTGTAATTATTTAACTCCCTTGAGCCCTAAAACTACTAAAAGTAAAAGGATTTCATGTTTACACCACACTGCTTTACAGCATTTACCCCTTACATAGTTAATCAAAATTCAACCACCTCTCCACCCCCCCCCCTCCCCCACCCCCCCAAATGATTAGGAGATTGAGATTCCGTGTTCTGTTTGCCTCTTCTTATCGGATCAAAAATATGTGAATATTTAGAACAATAGTAATTTGGTTTTGCTTTTGATGTTGGATCAGAGAGTGCAAAAACAAAATTACTATTTTTTATTTGTCTAAACGTTCACATATTTTTAATCTGCAGCTCCCCGAATGCCTGGAAGACTTTCCACACATTGAACTATTTGTTTAAGTTACCGTACCAAACTTGAAAGAGTTTTGGTCTTTCATCTTCTCCTAACATTTTGGTTTCGTCCCTTCATTTTCATTGAATGAATACCGATTTTCTTCTCTTGCAGCCATGAAAGGTTGGTCACGTGATCGATGTTTAGTCACTTTACCAGTGGCCACCATTACATTACCGATAACTTTTAGCCAAACAAACCAACATTTGATATAAAACTGTTTAATCTGTTTGAAGCTTTAAAAAATGTATCGGAAATGACGACACATCCATCCATCAGGTGTATCATCCACTTCGTCTGGTCACGATATTCAGCGGGGAAAGAAGAATCGAATTCTGTTTCTTTTCTGTTTCTTATCTTTGGCTTGCCGTGTCCTAAAGTTAAAACGGACTTTCTCCTATAGCCAACAAATCTTTTCAGACATTCTTATTATATTTTTATCTACAGCTTGTTTGTGCAGAAGTAAAAGGGGGAGCAGCACAGCGCATTTCAAGGGCTCTTGACAACATAAAGGACGAAAGGGGAAGCACTGCGAAATGCGTCGGCTGTCATATTTGGCTTAGCAGATGGGCAAATGTTGACTTTGAGTTCCAGAGAGCTCCCCTTTCAAAATAACATCTATAAATCAATTGAGCACACACCCTTACAGAGATTAGCCAATAGACTGGGTGATTTCCCTTGCTCCGATGGTGGTTCTGGAGTGGGATTTGATGCTGATTATTGGAAGGGCTCTGACTTTGGACTAAATAACTAACGAGCAATGACGAGGGTTGATGTTGTCCGCTGTCTTTGAATAGGCTTTGAAGACACATTCGAAGTTACCAACGAATGGCATCGCTGATTGACGGGGGATGTTTAGTTAAGACTGGTATTAGGGAATTGAGTGCTCAGGGCGGCACCTAGGGTGGGGGGGGGGGTAGCGAACGTTGCATAGTCATAGTTCGTAATTTCCAGTCAACACAATTTTCGGGGATACAGGATAATCAAATAACCACAGGGGGGGGGGGGGGGGGGGGGGGGGGGGGGGGGGGGGGGGGGGGGTAGCGAACGTTGCATAGTCATAGTTCGTAATTTCCAGTCAACACAATTTTCGGAGATACACGATAATCAAATAACCACCAGTCTGTCTTTCCCCCTTACTATCCCTACTGGTCCCTCGTTCTTTCCCCTTATTTGCGATGTTCTTCCCACTACTTGCCCTGTTCTTTCCCCGTACTATCCCTCCCAGTTTCATCGCGTGATGACCTTAAAGTGACCAGTAATGGTGCTTGTCATGCAAACTACAAGTGGGCATTTTTTGAATTTCTACCTGCCATGGTCGTATGGTATAACGTGTTGTTAGTTGTCAACACTCTTCTTCCAGATCTCAGCTATCAAACTTGATGAAGCCATTACACATGTCTAAGGTCTAATCCAGGCCTGCACAACATACGGCCCGCATGTGACCCGCCAGCTCCAACTTGACGGCCCGCGAAGTCACGAAATATACTTTATTATTATTTTCTTAATAGCTTTCCTTCCTTTCCTATCCTCTTTCGGCCCGCACAAGCTTTTCATAAAGTATTACGGCCCGTCTTACATTTTGAGTTGTGCAGGCCTGCTAATCCGTTTCCTCACTAAATACAGAGGAGGAATTGTCTCCGGTAATTGAAGAAGAAAGAGCCAATTAGAATACGAGTTTTAGAGACGAGACGCAACAGTCGCCTGAAGAATCTTTGAGGCTAGACAATATCTTGTTGTTAGCAGTCCCGACCGTGGGATCCTGGAAGTGTAGGAGACACGGTTCCAACAACTGCTACCATTCTTTGACATTTTTAACAACTTCCTGTTTTTGATATTATGATTCTGGTTAATTTGAGCAAACACTATGTGGATTGGCACATGACTTTGAGAAGTGGCGATTCACTGGCTTAGTAGAAGACCTAGAGGTCTTGAGAGACATTATTCCTCTTCTTCTTCTATATTTTGAGGGTCCACGACCAATGTATTGATCATTATGGCTAACATGTTTATAGAGGGCGGTTCACGATGTTTCTGTGCATGGTTTTTAAGGGGATACTTCACTGGTTGCAACAAGGACAACTCAGTGATGATATTAGGAACTGGGGTTTGGAAGGCAGGAAGCAAAAGACGCAAATGTGTCAAGTGTTGTCACCTCAACTGTTCATTTGGAAGCTTGTTCCAGTCCCTAATTGTCTATGGCAGGAATGAGCAGCTCCTGTACTGTGTTCTTGCTGTTATGAGCGGGAACTGCCTGTCATGGCCTCGTCGCTGTCTGGGGGGGGGGGGGGGGGACGACGACGAGTTTCTGTTTAATGCTGGAGCAGTGGACCAGCCCATTTTTTTTATTTTGAACATCATGGAGAGCCTGGATAATCGTCACCGTTTTTCGGATGGTGACCAGCCCAGTGTTTCCACCTTTCACCAACACTTAAGGTATTCCTGTAGCAGTTCAGGACAAAGCTTGCTGCCCGTCGCTGGACCGCCTCCAACCTGTCGATGCTCCTCTGGGTAAATGGATCCCAAACTGAAGATGTGTAGTCTAAAAGCAGCCGGACAAAGGCTTTATAGTCTGTTTCTTACACGCTGGAGTTGTCGATCCTTAGATTTCGCCATAGGGTCTTGTTTGCCCGGTTGCACACATTTCTAATGTGCTCGTCTCAGCGGACCTCTATTTGAATGGTAACCCCGAGGTACCTTAACCGAGGAAATAGGTCTAAGTCTAAGCATATGGACATGCAGTTTTAAGGGGGGTGTAGAGGAGCTCTACTTCTCGAGACTTACAGGGTCTGGCCCTTGGCAGGATAGAATTCCATGTCCCAGCATCGGTCGCTGAGGAGGCTAGCGATCCATGTTATGGTAGTGCCTTGGATTCCTTATGTCTGAATTTTGTGTTATAGCAAACTATGATTGACATCGTCAGATTAATTGGACACGAATAATTTGTGTCAATATAACAATATAAGTTGAGCTTTAATAATAATTTTACATAATACACAAGTATACGTTTCGCCACATGCCTTCATCAGTGCAAAAAAAAAAAAAAAAAA